AAAATATAATTTTTAATTTTATTAAAATAAATTTTGCTAAGCTCTTGGAATATATTTGACATAATTCTTAAAATATTTTAATTTATTTTGAGTATATATATGAGTATTTTGCTTGCATGTATGTATGTATGTATATATGTATGTGCACCAGGTGAATACGATGCCCATGGAAGCCAGAAGAGAGTATCTGATTCCTTGGAACTGGAGTTACAGACAGCTGTGAACTGTCATAAGGGTGTTATGAACCCAGGTCCTCTACAGGAGCAGCCAGTGCTCTCAACTACTAAAGCATCTCTCCAGTCCTGGCATAGTTATTTTAAACTACTCGTGACTTTTATTTGTTTATTCTACATGATAAACTGAGACTCACAGAGATGGACTTGCTCAGTCAAGTGCTAGTACTGTGATCAGAACCTCAATCAAATAATTGTGAAGCCATTCCTCAATCTTATCTCCTCACCAGGTACCCAACAATCATGACCTTGTAGAAATAAAGACTCCTGAAAAATAGGATTCAATTTCTAAAAATGAAAAATTCACTTTTAAGAAGATAGGCAAAGTGTTCCAGTGGCTTTTTAAAACCAGCTATATTTCTCCTTTTTTATTTCATAGGGCACAAAATCGAATGAAAGAACTCACAGAAAATTAAAATGAGAAAAATGAGCAGCCTCAGTGAGAACCAAGAGAGGAGGAACCTTACAGTGAGCTGGAAGGGATTAAGGAGAGGCACAGCCAGCCTGATTTTCCAGCAAGCACACATCATCCCAAACTCTTGCAAAGGTCAGGCTGCAGCGAGTGAGGTAATGTTGTTTGGGGAGTGAAACAAACATTACTTTGGTTTTGCTGTAAGATTTTTTTTTTCTCGTTTTTATTTCCCTTTTTCTCTCTCATTCTCAAATTTTAAGTCCTTGCTCTTTAAATCAAAATCATCCTCACCCTTCGGCTTTTGCCTAGTCTGAGTGCCAACCATTTACAGTCTTCTCTTCAGCCTGTAGATTTTCTCAGGACCCTTCTGCTCAAGCAGACACTATTTTCTTACAGAGATGGAGGATTTTTTTTCCACAGTGTGGAAAATGATGTTGAATTTGACTTGGCAGAGCCAAGGACCAAGGAGACAGGGAAGAACCGGACAAGGGGAGAGAAAGGAAGGAAACGTCTCCTGTTAAAATAATCCTGCTTTCTAACCAATTTTATGGCTTAAGTTAAGCTTTTTGTAGATAGTCTTAACAGCTTTACTAGATTTTTTTCTGTCTTTCAAAATGCACTTTCAACAGCCATGTTGTTTTCCAATGAAATGAAAGGACTTCTGTGTTCAGAAGGGACAGGGATGGCTATAGCATAGGATTGGAGAGATACAAAAGCTGCTTTCTTTAAACATGTTTGCCCTGGCAGACATTTCAGACCTACCTGTACATAGTCCACACTTCGTCCCAGTGCTCTGAAGGCTGTGTACATGACTTCTCTTTTTCCACCCCATTTTTGCATGATGCAGACACTTTTGTTAGACAAGACCAACTGGGTTACATGTTGTGAACTTTCTTTATGGGACTCGTCTGTCTCACCAGGTCCCTTTTCGTGGAAGTTGTTCTTCCAAATGTAAGTGGCTGATATGTCCCTGCCCATGACTTCGCTGAAGATGTCCATCATGTAAAGGTCGTCATCTGAGTTCCCATCTATGACCATGACCACCTTAATCCCAGGGTAGGTCAGTCTTTTCACAGATTGCAAACATTTCCTTAAGTAGTCTGGATCTTCTTGATAGGCAGCAATGCAAAGAGCAACGGTTTTGTTCAGTTTAATGGGGGTTTCAAGGGATTTTTTCATTTTCCGGTGCTCCAAAAAGGCAAACAGGCTCTGAATGATGAGGTGTGATGCTAAAAAGGCACCATACAGTCCGAAAGAGAAATAATAATTATCCGTTTGGATAAACTGGTAGCCAACAATATAAGCAGCTGTGATTCCGAGAAGGAGAGAGACTCCAAAGAGTGTGGTTCCAATTATTCTCAGGATGCATAGAAACCTCTCACAATGCATCTGCAATGCAATCAAAGATACTCTTGGTTAACCACTCTTGCCCCATGGAAGATTTCATGGGTGGGTTTCATGGGTGGCAGGGAGCATTGTGTAAGAAGAATATGAGTTTGCTTTTCTCTTTCTATTTTTATTCATTTTTATGTAACATATTCATGTCTTAGAATCTCATACATGTATAAAATATGTTTTGATCAAAGCCACTCCTGCTCCCCTCCAACTCTTCCCATAACCCCACAACTACCCTCTCCCAATTTCAGGTACTCTTCTTTTTTAATTAACTACTGAGTCCACTTTTTGCTGCCTATATATGCGTGGATGTAAGACCATCCACTGGAGCTACTGCAACCTACCAAGAATCAAATCCCTGAAGAAAACTGACTCTCCTTCCCCCAACAGTCACCAACTGCCAGTAGCTTGTCAGTTAGGAGTGAGCCTTGGTATGATCTCACTCCAGCATTAAGGGATTACAACACTGAGTTTCTTACTTAATTTGTTGGGTTGATACCACTGTTCATCTGAAAAGTCAAGGTTCTCTTCTGGCATAGCTCACAGGACTATTTCAAGAATCAAATGAGAGGGTGTTGCTAGTAAATCTCACAGAGTATTAAACACATGCTTGGATGCATTGTTTTGAATGTGTTCAGTCCTATAGCTAAGGCCTCTGGCTTTGTATATAGTCACAACTAGGCATGGGAACAAAATTCCCTAAAACCCCAAGCAATCTTTTGCCTCCATTAATATTTTGTTCAGCCCCTAATTACTGATGAGTGAGAAATCCACAGAAGATTCTGCTGAAATTCTCATGTGTGATTTTATTTTGTCTCAAATGCGTGTCTCTCATCTTACATCTCATCTTACCACACAAGTAAATAAGGTTGGGGATTAGAATGCCATGATTCTGGGACTAGCTCATCAATCAACTCTGTGACTTGGCATGGATTACCTTACCTCTCTGAGTATCAATGATTTTGCGTGTGTGTGTGTGTGTGTGTGTGTGTGTGTGTATGTGTTTGTGTGAGTTTATACCCTGATAAATGACACCACTTGATTGGTTACAAATTCCCCTTTGACATTAAAGTTTCTCAATCCTTAGATATCCTGCATAAAATTAGTTCAAAGTGCCTGTGATTCTGAATTGTACTGTGCCCAGATGTCTGTCATTTCCATCTAACATTCATCCAACATTAGATGGTAAGATCTTGGGGACCAGGAAACTTGCTAGATTATAAAATACAATACATGTTAGTAGAATAATGAATACATTGAATAAGAAATACCATCTTGATGAATTTGAACAGGTAAATGTCCATCCTATTAAAAGATCTAGTATTGAGACTAGAGAGATGTCCCAGCAGTTAAGAATACTAGTTGCTCTTGCTGAGGACCCAGGTTCAACTCCCAGCACTCATATGGTGACTCACAACTATCTCTAACTCCAGTTTCAGGGGATCAAATTCCCTCTGTGTCCTCCATGGGTATTGCATACATGTGGTGCACTTAACATACAAGAAGACATGGTACTCAAACACAAAAAATAAAGATAAACAAACTAATAAAAAATTTTAAGGTCTAACATTAAATCTTAAACCTGTTTGATTTCTTAATGATAGCCAGCTTTATAGTCACCCTAAATTCTACATATCTCCTAAGCAACTGTGTGTACGCACGTTCATGTGTGTGGATGTATGTATGTGCACTGTGTGTGTGTGTGTGCATGTGGAGGACAGAGGATAACCTCCAATATCATTCCTCAGGTTATGTCCAGTTTTCATTATGATTGATGTTGTTTTATTTTGTTGAGACAGGGTCTGTCATTGGTCTGATTAGTGAGCTCTAAGAATCTGCATGTCTCTGCCTAATGTAGGTTTTAAACAAACCAAGGACAAGAGAGCCATTTTTCTGTTGTTTCCCAAAGCATATTTTAAAGTTTTATTTTTATTATTTCTATTCTGCGTGTGACTATATTGCTTGCCTGTATGTAAGTGCACCCATGTCATACAATGCCCATGGGGTACAAAAGAGGGCATCAGATCCCCTGGAACTGGAGTTACTGACTGCTGTTAGCCACCATGTAGGCGCTGGGAATTGAACCCAGGTCCTGTGCAAGAGCATCCAATGCTCTTAACAGCTGAGCATCTTTCCAGCCCCCTGCCAAAGCATTTATGATGCTGAATATTGAATTTTTGCCTTGCAAACTGTTTTAAGTTATGCTTCAGTTTTATTTTCTCTCTTTTGTAAGAATGAGCTGCCCTAAGTCATGTAACATATAGGTGCACTGTTTCTATCTTCATCTGGGTTTCACATCAACTTTGGGAATTTTTTATTTTCATATCATTACTTAATATTTTTCAGTACATATTTCTTTTTATTTGTTACTTTTATCTTATGCATATGAGTGTGTTGATACATTATGCATTGCCCATGGAGGTCAGAAGAGGGCATTGAAATCCTAGAACTTGGAATTAGCCACCATGTGGGAATCAAACCCAGGTCCTCTGCAAGAGCAGCCAGTGCTCTTAACCGTGAGGCATTTCCCCAGTCCCTTAATATTTTTCTTTACCAACTAACTTTGAAAACTGAATAAATGTATTTTAAATGAAAACTTAGGCTAAATATTATCTCTTCTTGATACACTATTCAGTTTCCTAATCTTTATCACACCTCAAAACAGAATATCCCATAGAAAGTAGTAACATCTTGGCTACTAACAATTGTGTGGACATCCACAGACTTGAATTCTACTCATCTAATGGTACATAGACCTTCTCCTGAGGAAGTATGTACTACACTTCTCAGACACCTTGGTGTCACTGCCTACTAGTAATGCTACCTCTCTTTCTTGAGCACAGGCAGTGCAGTGGGACCATGATATTATGGCCTGTGGAAATCTAAGATGTATCTCTTCTAGTGGAAAAGAGATGGTATTAGAAAGAGAAGGTATGCCTCCTCCATTCTCTCGTTCTCTTCCTTAGATTTGATACAAATATCACTAAGGTTCTATGAGATTACAGAACCCAAGATAAAGAGTGAGGCTGGCCATTGCATTTTCATATGGAAATATAGAATGCAGTTACTCATCAGTCAGGATATCTTCATGGGACTCATGGCAGCAAGAATGAGTCTCAGTTTTTGTTCTTACTTTGCTGGCCATCATGCATTTTAGCTATCCATTAAATCTCAGTAGTAAAACGAAAGAAATTCAAAGTGGCCGAGAGAGCTACTCTGGGATGCTAGCTAGTTTTCTAGCTTGTGAGCATCATTTTCTTTTTTTTTTGTTAAATGTGACCATACTCATCAAAGGCTCTTCAAAATGCTGTGGAGCAGAGTGAAACACTTTGGAAAGTGATTTTAAAAGCCAAATCACAACATAATTTGAAGGATAAACTATCTAGCAAGCTGAACACAACACAAAGGCATATTCCCCTTTCAGCAGTTATATAGGACACCACAGTGTGTAATGTGAGAGCCTGGTAACACCAACCTTGACACAACTGGAAAGTTGAATCTGCTGGGAAAAAGTGAGTTTCAGAGTTTTCAGAGAAAGGCAAGTAAGCCCAGCATCCCTTGTTAATTAACAGCTGACGGGATGCTGAGCACTCCCAGAAGGCACATTAACCCATGCCTAAAGGTGCTGCAAGCACCAGACTTGGAACTTGTCATTTCCAAGACATGAGTCATTCTCACAAGAGTGAAAAATTTCAAGGGGACCAAAGCACTTGCCAGGGAGAAGCTTAAGTGTATGTTTAGCTTGTGTTAAAAATCACCATTGCCAGCAAGAGCAGCCTGTCATTGTTTTCCACTCTTCACATTTTCCTTGTTTTTTATCAGCACATGTGGACTTAAAGAGTGGTCATACAGCATCTGCTGGCCACAGCTGAAGTGGGAACACCCTCTTACATCATAGGCGTCTACAGAGTGGCCTTTTGAAGTCTGGTAAAGTTGCTAGCAAACTGCAATATTGTAGTTAGAATTGAAACTTTATATTCCTGTCAGAGCTCACTGGTGAGACACACAGCATTTCAGAGCAGGCCAAGGGTTAAAGGCACATTGTAGAGATTGTTTTGCAGCGAGGATACACTGATCTCAGGGAGTGACATGCAGAATATATGGTATGTGTGTGTGTGTGTGTGTATGTGTGTGTGTGTGTGTGTGTTGTGCTAATTTCCCCTGGGCTGTTTCATGGATATGGCTACCATATGTGTAAGGCTCTCTGAGAAATCCCTAATTCAAATGCTCTGTTTCATAAGCCTACTTTCCTACTAAAAGTAACATGGCTATGTGGCCTTTCTGTTCAATTAGAGAAACTGGGTCAGTTCAGTCCTAGGTCCTAAGGATAATTTCAAAATCTATATTCTATGATATTTTAAAGGAAAAACTTGGATTTGGGGGTGGGGCAGTATTAGACTTTGGCCCATTGACTTTTAAAATGCTATTGGACTTGATACTGTTTATATAATAACTTCTATTCTCTATTCCAGGGAAAACAAAGGGAGAAGGAATAGCTTAGTATAGTATAATGGAAGCTTGTAAAGTTCCCCTGTCTCCTCTCCCTCTCTCTCTCTCCCCCCCTCTATATATATATATAATTTATATGTACTA